TGATCCCTGGATTACAAAACTCTCCTGCTGGATACTTACATAAGAGAGTGGATAAACATTTGTTGTTGCTCAAGTTTATTTAGAATTCCCAATTAAGAGTTTGGGACCAACTTGTAAACTGTAGAGATTGCCCCATTTATAATAAAATGTCTAGCATCATAAGAAAGGCTGTTTTTGAATTCAAACTTGTTTTTTTAAAGAACAGTTTTAATTAGGTTGGCTGGTTAATCTCTGAATATGTGTACAGAAGATGTATACAAGCCCTCTTTAAATGGAAGCTGAAACAAGTCTGCAGTTTTATACATGTTTATCTTGAAGATCTCTCTCTTATTAAAATCAAAGGGGCTTGTTTTCAAATTGAATTGGGTGTCCTGGACATCACATATTAGCTATACGGAATTTAATTTCTGGGTAATTGTTATCCCATTTCTTCTGCAATTTAAGCAAAGCTTAGTGAAACATTTTTTCTTTTGCAAAAGTGCTACGTATCAAATCTTCTACAGTTGCTTTAATAATAAACAAAAGAGATTCCTAGTTGTTGCTACTTTCAGAATGCTTTCCTGTGATTATCAGGACATTCTATTAAGCCACTTTAGCTGGATATCAAGACACATTAAATGCATAACTGTATTTTAGTCTAAAGAATTGTGCAAACTCGGCCACTGTGGTTCGTTTATGATTAAATGTATCATGTGAGCCCCCAAAAAGGAATTAATTTAAAAGACACAGCTGAGTGAACTACACACATAACTGCGTGATAAAAACATATTACAGAAAGATAGAGAAAAGGAGGCAATTATTTTAAATACATAATTATTTCCCATATGTCATATTAATCACCATCCATACATCAATGGCTAGTGACTCATTTTATTTATTTTGCTTTATCATAAAAAAAGATTGAAAGCCTGTTTTCCAAATCCTAAACCATGAAATGGACTTTGAATTTGCCTTTATCCAGAGTTGGAATTGGATCAATTCTATTTTTAATCAGCATGATCACACCAAATAGTGTGTGTGTGTGTGCGCGCGCGCGTGGTTGTTTTGCCATTTGGGAGAAGCATGTCAGTTAAGTGCATCTTTGAACACCCATTTGGGCCACCCATTTCCTCTTTGGCAGGAAGTCCCCCATCCAGGGGATTTTTGTTTTTTAAATTTTCCACCTATTCATAGTTGTTGGGAAGGACACACCCAGGCTGAGCCTCCTTCCTATGTGCAAGTCATTCTTCTCTTCACAGCTGGGAAGAAAAAATTCACAAAAGCACCATGGAAATTGAGGACTGTCCTTGACTCCTTTTACCACTAATTTTACCCATAATTACTTTTTTTTTCAGTTTCTCCTTCCTTCTATGTTCATAAAGAGAGCAGAAGAATGCAAATATTTACAGCCAGTTTGATGCAGGGACGAAAAGCACTGGATTAGGAACTAGGCGACCAGGAGTTCTAGTCCCACTTTAAGGTACAAATCTAGCTGGGTGGCTTTGAGCCGATCCTTTCCTCCCAAAAGTTTGAAGTTTGAAGTTTATTGTATTTATATCCCGCCCTTCTCCTAGTGGACTCAGGGCAGCTTACAGCCAGTTAAAAAACAGAACAATTGGTACAAATATACAAAATTTAAAATAAATTAAAAGATATATTTAAATAGGCCTTTTTCTTATTTTAAAAGTTGATTAAAATCCAATTTAAAATATCCCTAGGCCAGTCCTGCCTGCTGAAACAGCCATGTCTTGAGGGCGCGGCGGAAGGAGGGGAGATCCGGAATCACCCGGATCTCTGGGGGCAGCTCGTTCCAGAGGGTGGGATCTCCAACAGAGAAGGCCCTCCCCCTGGGGGTCGCCAACCGGCACTGTCTGGTTGACGGCACCCTGAGGAGACCCTCTCTGTGGGAGCGTATCGGCCGGTGAGAGGTGATCTGTGGCAGAAGGCGGTCTCGGAGGTAGCCAGGTCCGATGCCATGGTGCGCTTTAAAGATGATGATCTGCAGGGACTCGTCCAGAAGTCAAGTCCAGTTTGAAAGTACACACAAAGAAGGTTACCATTAATAAAGGCAGGGCGACTCTGAAATTAGCCAAAATAAGGCGATTGTTTTAGACCAGAAATTTTGACTATTGGAACATGACAATAAACAGCTAGCTGTTTTGTAGGGCCACATTGTTTACTTATCCTTAGACTCAAAACTCTGCAAAAATGGATAATGGACCATGGCAGGAAATTTGTAGGAGAGAACGTGTGTTTGTGTTTGTGTTTGTGTGTGTGTGTGAAGACTCAAGTTCCGGTTTTTGTTGTTGTTGCTGTAATGATTTATTGTGGGTTGTGATTCCTACCTGGCCAATGTGGTCCCAAGATCCCCTTTGCTTTCCGAAGTGGTTGTCTCCCAACAGAGATCCATTGGCCCCTCTGTGAATAGCAAGACCAGGTTTTCAATCATCACATTTTGGGTAGATGCCCTGTATAAATCGTCACCCCATTTTTAGGTTTTTGGTGTGCGTGTATCTCTCAGTTGCAGGACAGCTCTGGAGAGGGAGAGCTGATCCAGAGTTCGGCGTTTCCTTTTTCTTTCTTTTAAATCGTCTAACTTGGCCTCTTTTCTGAGTTCCCACCCAGTGATATAATTCCTGGGAAAAATGCCCTTGCGAGAAATATGGGACACAAGGATTGTAGCGAATGCTCCATTCTTTTGGGACACCTGCAGATGTTCAGCATTTGTTAAGCCATGGATTAAAAGGAGTGGAGAATTTGGGGGGAGGGGGGTTGGACAAGAGGATAAACGGGCAAACAACAAAGCAGGCATTATGAGCCTCAATCTTGATTGGAATGTGAAAGATTTTTGTTACTAAGGAATCTAAGTCCTGTCCAAGTTACCTTCTTAATATTAGCCTTTCCACCAGGGCCATTCTCGGCCATTATTAGAAAAAAAAATACAGCTCGTGCTTATTTTATAGTGAATCAAAGCTTAGTAGGTCAGTCAATTTATTACAGTCTTAGACCATGATAGCAGTGTTCCAGTATCTCAGGGGTTGCCACAAAGAAGAGGGAGTCAAGCTATTCTCCAAAGCACCTGAAGACAGGAAAAGAAGCAACGGATGGAAACTGAGCAAGGAGAGAAGCAACCTAGAACTAAGGAGAAACTTCCTGACCGTTAGAACAATTAACCAGTGGAACAACCTGCCTCCAGAAGTGGTGAATGCTCCAACGCTGGAAGTTTTTAAGAAGAGACTGGACAGCCATTTGTCCAAAATGGTGTAGGGTTTCCTGCCTGAGCAGGGGGTTGGACTAGATGACCTCCAAGGTCCCTTCCAACTTTATTATTATTATTATTATTATTACTATTATTATTACTATTATTATTACTATTATTATTATTATTATTATTATTATTATTATTATTATTATTATTATTATTATTATTATTATTACGTGACCGCAGGGACGCTGCAACCGTCGTAAATATATTCCAATTGCCAAGCATGAATATTGATCACGTGTCTATGGGGATGCGGCAACGGTTGTGTGAAAATAGTCATAAGCCACTTTTTTTTACAGTGCTGCTGTCACTTTGAATGGTCACTAAACAAACGGTTATAAGTTGAGAACT